GAAGGAGAGGGGGACAGCAGGGCGGGATGGCGGTGTGGGTCAGGGACCAGAGCTCTCCCTTCAGGGCCGTTCTCACTGGCCGCACCGCAACGTCAGTTTGGGCCTGAGGTCACAGCGTGACTGTCCCAACAGGAGCCACTACAACAAACAGCCCACGTTGGCCTGTTCCACGCATCCACCCGGACCACCTCCTCAGGTGAGGGGGGACAGAGTGCACTGGCAGAGCTGGCTCCTCCCTCGATAATCCACAGCAGCTCTGAGAACCCTGAGGCAAGGTGGAACCCGCTCAGCCACGAGTCTTCACCGCGTCCCGTGCAAGGTTCACTCCGGAACCCTGAAGGGAGTCCAGTGGGACAGGGGCCTGCCTTCATGTACGCTGCTCTGCATGTACTCCCACCCCGAAACAAGTCCCAAGCGCTGTGACCAGCCCCAGGAAGGACACCGCAGGCCGGGGCGGTGAGTCACCCAGCCGCACGGCGGGCTACAAAGCCCGACCAGCAACCTGGCCAGACGGGGCCCTTCTCCAGCACCTCCCAGTGCAACAGCCAGCAGGTCGCGCAACGGGCTGCCAGACGCTCTCTCTCCCCACGACCAGGGTCCCGCCGTGAGCCCCGCCCCAGAGAAGAAGCAAGGACAGCGCCTACCCCTGACCCCGCCCCAACCTAAGTGCTGGGGTTGGCCAACAGTGCCCGTGCCTAAAGCCTGCAGAACGTGCCTGCGAATGCCCCCGTGTGAACGAGGCTGTCCACGGCCTCACTGCCCCGACGCCCCCACACACCCAACGGTCCAGGCAGCGTGGTCGGCTCAAGCTGGCTCTCCGAGGCATGCACACAACTCCGCGATCGAAACCAAAGGAAAGGCCTTTGTCACTCAGATGAAATGTGACCATAATCTCCCCGGGCTGATGACCAGGTGGTGGGGCCCTGATCTGTCCCAGACAGACTCCCGGCCCCCACGTGTACCCTGCGGGGTGGGGAGCGCGTAACACGCGTCTGTCTAACGGGCACACTGACCTCCCCTCCCCAGCCGCACAGCGGCCGTGAGCGGCCAGGGGAGCACGGGGAGCTGAGGCCGGGACGGAAGGCGGGCGCCACACGCGGGCCTCAGAACTGCCCAGCACGCCCGCCCCTGCGGTCCCCGCTGCACCCACAGACCTGCCTCCCAGAGGAGACGCTCCGACGACAAGCAAGGCGTGTTCCAGGGAGGCTCCGAAGGGCACATTCCGTCCCCGTGCGTAGACACGATCGCTGCGATGTCACTGGGATGGAAGGCGCTCAGTCAGGGGCCGGGGTCACTTCAGATGCCGCGACGGTGGGAGGCTCAGCGAGTGGTACACGCTCCCACCCCCCTCGGCTCCCGGGTCGGCAGCGCTGTGGGGAAAGGGCGGCAGGACCAGGCCCCTGACTGCGGCCCCCCCATCAGCTCAGGCCCATCATGCGCCACATGAAACCGCGGGAAGCCCGACTTGCTAGAGAAAGCCTCAGAAACACGCGCTCTGCGCTGGGGAGGCCCTGTTCCATGATCCCCGCTGCCACCACCTGGTCACACGGCCGCTGGGACTTCCCGGGACAGGCGTGAGGTCTGTCCCCCTTCCGGCCGGCATCCCTCCTTCCATCTCCTGCAGAACACAGATTTATGTACCTACGAGGTAGTAAGGCAGAGCCTTAAATTTAATCAAAAGAAATCACTGGTGGCAAACTGATAAATTATTTAGACAAGGGTTCGATTGGCCTGGAAAGGAAATCTGGGCCTCACAGTCTGGCAGCCTCAGGAAAAAAACATCATCGCTATGGCTTCTCTGAATTCCTTCTTGACCCCAAATCACCTTTACCAAAACGTTTAATCCTGCATAGTTGGAGCGAGAAAAGGAGGAGGAGAGCACACGAGGAAGGACACCGACTCTCGCAGGCACGAGGCGGGCACATTTCCCGTGGTCGGTTCTCTGTCCCTTCTGAGTGGCACTGGGGTAGCTCGGTCCCACAGGGCCCACGCACAGGCACGCAGAGGCACGCCAACACTAATGAATAGGACCTCATTTCCAGCTGCGCCACCTTTCTGAGCCTCAGAGTACAGGACACGGAAGAAGAGGAGACCAGATCTGGGGGTGTCCACCTCAAAGGTCTAGAGATTTCCTAACACTCCCGTTGCTTTACTGCAGGTGGTTCCTCGGACCCTCTCATGCAGAGCACTCGAGGGCCCCGTAAACACAGTCAAGTGCTGTGTGTTTTGCTCTGCAGTGTTCCAAAGGACCCTGATTTACAGTTAGGAACACGCCACCACGCACAGCAATGTCTGAGCTTGCTTATCGTCTCCTGTCTCGTGCAAACTCTGGGAGGCGACGCGAGGCCGGCCTCCCTCTCCCGTCACCCACGGGAGCTTCCAGACAGCGGAGGAACACGCCGCTCACCCCAGAGCACGGGTCGTGACCGCCCAGCGCACAAGGCACAGCCCACAAGCCGCCCTTGCCAGCCCTCCTGGCGCATCCCGGGCCTCAGGCTCGTTTCCAAACATATGCGTCCCACTAACAGGTGGAGCAGCAAAATTTTAACCCCTTTATCGTACTTAAAAATGAACGCAACCGTCCTGACGTTCAACACAGAAAATACTAAGTATTCATCGCCATGGTTCCACTTCCTGAATGCGGGCTCAGGAGCCCAGTCCGCTGACGTGAGCGGCCCCTTCCTGGGTGCAGCTGGCATGCTCTGGTCCCCGCCTGCAAACCAGCCCCAATGGGGTCCCACCCGCACCGGTGCACCCTACAATCCAGAAACACTCTCCCTGACCAGCCTTGTGAACTGAGTCTCTCCTTCAAAACACCCCCTTGCAGATCCGCTCTTCAAAGCCCACGGACCTCAAGCACGTGTCTCGGACTAACAACGTCCATCTGGAGGGCCGTACCCTCTCTGCTACCACTCGCCCCGCGTGGCCACCCCCACTGCAAGAAGGTGACGTCTCAACCCCATCCTGAGTCTACTGTCGTTTTTGGATCCGTGATTGTGTGCCTATATGTAAATGCTGTCTTACACGGTAACGCCTCCTCCAGATGCCATGGGAGAGATCTACTCTTAAACAGAGACTTAGATTAAAAATAATGGATTCTACTTTCGAAGATTCCACTTTAAAAATCATGGATTCTACTTTCGAAGATTCCACTTACTGCCAGCGAGCACGAACTAGCTGGTGCCTACCAAGTTAAGCTAACAGTAAAGCCAGCGGTAAAGCCACTCCTAGCACGCCCCGAAATCGTAAATCACGCCCAAGGGAATAAACAGGCAATATCCGGAAATATCGATCCCGTATTCTGAAAGACCACATCTTCTCATGTGACACGTCTTTAAAAGGAGGAACGTAATTAAAATAGCAGAGCCTGTCCGTGAAGAACGCAGTCGGTAGATCTGAATTTATCCGGCCACATTCTCCTTTAAATAAATGAACCCAGCCAAAAGCCAAAGCCCGACGTCGAACTCAGGAGACGGTGAGATGTGGGTAAGTGAGAAAGGCGTTCTTCTACATTTAAATATTGCTGGTTCTCCGCCTTCCAGATGCCGGTGACGCCAAGTCTTCCGACAGACGTCAGCTCTGTGTGTTGTCACACGCGGACAGAAGTCTGTCCAAACCGCACGCGCACCCGGAAGCCCCTGAAGACTGCCACTGAGATCCTGGAGTGCCTTCAAAGTCCTCAAGGAAGCGAGTTTCTACTGACAACAGGAGGCACCTCAACTGTCGTTAAAGGGATACACCATGGAAATATCTCTCCGTTCCTCATCCAAGCCCCAAAGGCATTATACCCACACGAGAAAGGCTCCTGAGTTTTTACATAACCATCAAGAGGTAACAGATATAACAGAGGGAAAAGCAAGGCCCTTAGGCATAGATCAAAATCATCACTAAGAATCTGGCTTCTGAAGAATGGGAGTCTGCGGTTATTAACTCCACAAGTTAGACCCTGCTGCCCCCTAAGACACAAGGGGACACGGTTGCCACCACTCAGTCTATGCTGACTACAGGCAGCAACAGAAATGACCCGCAGACACAGTGACAGGCACCAACAGATTCACTTCTGACTGTTCTCTTAGGATGTAAATAACGTACAAAGACTCCCTAATTCCAGATCACCCGGATGAAGAGTCCACAGATGAAGCCCAAGCACGCAGGGTTCACCGGGCCCTAAGCCATCTGCCTCCGTGAGGCAGACGCTCAAAAAGGAAGGGCAATGACCACAAAGGCTCCTGGGAGCCGCGTGAGCCAGGCCACCACCACCCACGTTCCGCGTGGTCCCTGCAGAGGACTCCAGAGCCAGCCCACCACACAAAGCGGAACAGAAAGCACCTCCATAAACACCCCAAATTTCTAATCTGCTGCTACAATGAGTACATCTTCAAGCCAGCTAAAGAGCTAAAGGACACAGGTCTTGGGGTAGTTCAAGGAAAACTTAAGATCTTAAAAGGCAACCTGCCTCTGTTCTTTAAAAGAACAAAACCACAGAACCGTCAGATATAAGCAACAAAAGGCATGGTAATTGGCGGCTGCCTCCCAAGGGGACCCCTCCCTTTTGAATCAAAGACCAAGCATATAATAGGTGTCATCTTTTCAATGCTGAGTGCTTTTTTCGCAACTGTTTGAAAATTGAAGACAGGAGAAATAGCTCTAACTAGTTGAGGTTGCAGGAAAGTTACTGAAAATATGTTTCCTGAGAAAAACCGTGATCTAAGAGTAACACGAGAAATGCTTTTCAGTGCCTGAAGACTGTAGGGAGAAACTCGGGCCAAACGAGCAAGAGACCATCCCGCGCAGGGCCCCCGCCAGCGCCCGGCCGCCTTCGTGCACGACAGGGTGCGTCCACGGAGCTGGGGAAGGAGGCGCGGCGAGGAGCGTCCAGCCCCGGAGGGACGCGAGCTGAGGGTCCCTAAAAACCTCTCGCTTGGATTCACATGCTGTTTGAAACCAGGGAATTGACGCTTCCCTCTAAGAAAAAAGAGAAGCAAACAAAGAGCACTCACCCGCGGCTGCCAGTTCTCATACTGCTTCTGCAAACTCGCACCGATGGTTTCCAGAGCCTTCTGAGGCCCCATCGACAGAGGATCTGAAGAAGCAATAAAAGCAGAAAGTCCGTTACCCATTCGTTTCCTCCGCGGCCGAGCCCATCGCCCACGGTTCCCTCTTCCGTCACTCACTTCAGAGTCACCCTGGACCGAGGAACACACACCTGGGGTTTTCTGTGTTGAACCAGATGCAGGGAATGGCTATGTCCCCAAACAGGACAAAACGCCACACCTGCTCACCTTTCGAGAGGAAGGCTGTTTGGTCAGACTCGCTGGCCCGTGAAGTCTCCTCTCCTCCCTGCACTCGTCACTCAGCCCCGGGGTCGCCCTGCACTCCCGCGGCTTTGTTCCTGCACTCCTGGCAGGCTGTGCGGGGTGGGCCTCGGGCCTGGCGGGGGCCTCTGTGCAGAGGAGGGGCCCAGGGAGGGCCACACCGTGCGTCCCTCGCGCAGAGGGCCAGGAGGAAGATGGAGCGACCAAGGCGACGCGTTCTACGTGCCTTCTGTCTGTGCTGGTTCCTCCACAAGAACGTTTCGTCAACACGCCTGTGTGTTTGTGGCTTATCCGCCCATTTCAGGAGTGGCTTCTAGGGCAAGGAGCTCTAACCAGCCATTTCTCAAACTTACGTGGTCTCCAGACATCCCTGCACTCTTTAAAATGCTGAAGAACCCCAAACAACTTTTAAGTGGTTGTCTCTATTGGTATTTGCTGAATTCAAACTCAAGACGAGAAATTTTAAAAACTGTATTCATTCATATAAAAGTAATAACAAACCCATTACCTTTGAACATAAATACTTATTATGAAAACTGACTTTTACAAAAAACTAATGAGAATAGCACTGTCCTACCTTTTCTGCACATGTCTTTAACACCTGGTCTTACACATCTGGGCCTGATTCCATCTGTTACAAAATGTGGTTCTGGCCGACACAGAGGAGGAAAATCCCACCTCACACACAGACGTCCGCGGGAAGGCCACTTTAAATCGCCTCTTGAGACAGTCACGCTATCTTTGCTGCTACACCGAAACTCGACGCGTGGTAGCTTCTCTAAGGCTGTCTGCAATGGGGAGTCTGAAACCATAGCAATGAGCCCGTACTCCATGGCATTAAAATCCACGGACCTGTCGTGCACTTGGAACAGACCCTCTGTCCGCGGGCGACTCTGTGTCATCATCACTGCCACCTAGAAAGCACTGATCACTGAGCTACATAGACCTTCTGTATCTTGTTCTCCAATATCTCAAATCTCATCACCAGCTATAAACACTTTGGTTGTTTTCCCCAAAATGCCCACTCGCTTTGTTCATTTTCCAGAAAATGTGGCCAAATGCCCAAGGCCCATCAGCTGCTCCTCCAGGCCAAAAGGACATCCAGTTGGACAGCCAGTTGGGCCCAGGACGCATCCACCACGTGACGCCCTCCTCCCTGGGCCCAGGACCTGCCAGTCGGCGGCCCCTCCATCACGCGATCTTACAGACGTGTGTCCAAAGGCTGACAACCATCCATAAGCCTGTGTGTCTGTGCCGACCCAGAGTGCCTTCCCTGAGCTGTCCTCGCTATCCCTGTTTTCCACGTGCCGATGCTAATTCTGCCCCAACTTCCTCAACGTCGCCCTCTCAAATGCTGCCTCCCACACACAGGAGGGTTTCAGCTAATCTCCCCCTGTCTCCCTCCACTCCCCGGACAGCCCCGGGCCAAGCGAGAATGTACACCCCCACTCTGTAGAAGGGGAATGGCTCCCAAGAAAAGAGCCCCAAGGGACCAGGGGACAGTAAAGTTCACGTCATCACAGTCTCACAATGAGAAACGTCAGGCCGAGCTCAAACGCAGTTGAAGATCTAGTGCGGGGCCGCTACCCACATCTGGCAAGAGACGCCAACGTACGGATTCAAGAAGGTCAGTGAAGCACAAACAGATTAACCCTAGCAAATCTGTATCCAGACACATCGTAGTCAAACTGCTAAAAACAAAGACAAAAAAAAGTCCTTAGAGAAAAATCAGCTCACGAACGATCAGGACCGAGAGAGTCTGGATTTCCCCACAAGACCGAAAGCTGGACAGAAGTCAGAGTGCCTTTACATCTTGAATGAGAACAACCACCCGATATTCACGTCAGAGGGTAAAACACAGGCCTTTTCAGACCCGCAAACACTTCCAAACTCTGCCCGTGTTCCTCTTCTTGGGAAATAAAGCACAAAAGAAGCCAGTGAAGGACCCAGGGAAAGAGAGAGAGAGAGAAACCACAAGACGTCCATGAACCAGATCCAGAGACAAAGGCCGTCCAACAGGAGCTAGGGCGGTATTGTTTTAAAAACAGATTTCTTGAGCACTGGAATAATTATTGATAGCACTTGACAGATCTACTGGAATATACGTAAAAAAATAAACTCGTAAGTTCACCAAAAATTTAGCGGATAAGAGTAACTGGCAAATGTGCAACCACGGGGAAAATTACACACTGGGATGAGAAAGGAACGGATCAGAGCACCCCCTCTGGGATGGGCAGGAACAAGAAGCAGCTTTCTCTCATTATACTTTTCAGTATTGTGTGATTTTAAAGCTGTATGCACGTATTACTTTGATTTTTTAAAAGAGAATTATAAAACGAAGTATTGGGATTTTAGAATCGGGAGGGACCTTTACCACCAGAGCATCAAAGTCCTGAGGACTCTTCCCGACGCGGATGCCAGGCCCCACCCTGGAGCGTCTGAGTCAGTAGCTTCGGAAGAGCCCCGTCGGTGGCTGAGCACCTCTGCTGAGGGAACCGAATGAAAACTGGGTGTAACTAACTTACCCGGAAGAAGTGTGGGAAATTTCTTTCAATCCGTGCGTAACTCAAGAAGTTAGAAGTTCACCCTCATCCCTCTGTGCTGGTAGGAACCCAGTGCTAAGGTCTCAAAAGAATTAAAATGACCTCAATCAACCCTGTGGTAATCGAAATCACAAGACGGGCCAGAGACACAAATAAGTCGGAATCTGAAAAATAAATTCAGGGCCACCGCAGAGCACAAGCAAAGCAAAGGAAAGCAGACAACAGCATCAACAAACAAAAGGCCATTCCTAGCAGCCGCGCCTTGTGCACGAGCCCAGGAGAGCAAATGCGGGAGCTCGTGCACGTCTGCGCACACTTGAGTGCGGCGTCCACGTGGCCAGTGCTATGGCTGTGAAAGAGACTGGAAATGGTTTCCTCTGTAAAAAGATAAAAGGCCTGTCCAGGAACCACAGTGATCAGCAGCAGCTCCTGGGTGTGCCCTCGGTGCCCAAGCCAGGGGGAAGGACCAGAGCCAGCCCTCTCCTTGGACTTCTCCCCTCGGAAAGCCCAGGCCCTCCAGCCCCACACCATCCTCTCCCACGTGCCCAAGGAGGGCATGCCGACTATCTCCAGAGCTGGAGGGCACCTGCCACCAGGGCAGCAGCCCCTCACTAGTCATGGGCGCCTGAGAGCAGCACCCCTACCCCTCCCCAATCTGGATGACAACCCCTGCCTTCCCAGGGAGGGGCAGGCGCAGTCACTGGCCACTCATCAGGCACAGATCAGTCCCGTTACTGGGAACCCCTGCGGCCAATTAACCACATGGTGTCCTCCAAGGGTAGGACCGAGAGTGGGGCAGGGGAGGAGAGGGATCAGGAAGGGGGAAAGAACCAGGACCAGGGAGACGGAGACGGTGCCTTGACTCCAAGCTCACCGCAGTCAGCCAGTAGAGAAATCAACTAGAAAGTTCCGGGAGGGTGGTGCTGACGGTCCGGTCCGTCTGAGGAGGGCCGGCTCTGAGGCTACAGCACTGTCCCAACAAGACATTTCTCCTCTGACACCCTCAGGGGCTTCTACGGAGTGAATGAAGTGGGTGGGCAGGCGGGGGGAAGAGAAGAGGAGACAGTACATGGCATTCGTGTGAAATTTGAGCTTTATGGCAGTCTTCTGGCAAGCTTTCCAGCCTAAGCCCCCTGGGTCTCATGGTGCACAGAACTTCACGTTGACGGGAACTACAGCCAGCCCACCCCACGGCACAGAAGAGAACCTAAAGTTCTAAGTGGCCAGATGACTCGGTCAAGGTCACAGAGGCTGGCCATGATGCTGGCAGTCAGCCAACCTGAAAACTCCCCGTTCCCTCCACTCTCCCTTCAGAGGAGCCGGTGCGCCACCACTAACTACTGACGTGCTGGTCCCGACCGCGGCACCTGGTGCCGGCACGGAGACTCTCCCTCCTCCTGGCTAAGGTTCTCGAAGATTCTGAGAAGGGCAGAAGCCCAGGAAGCAGGGCTCTGCTGACCTGGTGTCACCTCCACCCACTGGAAGATGAAACAATTCCTCTGTGATGCCCCCCCGGACCAGCCCGCAGTGAGCCGCCACCCGGAGAATGCCCCCCCCGCCGCCCCCGGACCAGCCCGCAGTGAGCCGCCACCCGGAGAATGTGAAAATAAGCACGACTGACTTGTGCTGTCAGGGCGCACACCGGGGGCAGGGCTGGATGGGAGGGACGAGAGACGGGGCTGGACTTGGGGGCCGCCGCTGAGACTGCTTCTTGACCGGTAACGGGTCAGCCTGGGAAGAGTGGTCCGCCTCCGCACCGGGATCTGCACCCCTTCCCACGCATCTCCCGTCCTTCAAAACTAAGGGCACCTGCGTGGCTCAGCCGGCGAAGCGTCGGACTTCGGCTCAGGTCACGATCTGGGATGCAGCTCCGCGCCGGGCTCCCGGCTCCTCCGAGAGTCTGTTTGTCTCTGCCTCTGTCCTTCCCCCTGCTCGTGCTCTTTCTCTCTCTGTCTCTCAAGTAAATAAAATCTTTAAAAAAATAAAACTTAAAAACATGCAGCGCTCACTGCTCTAGAACGTGTGCCCTCTTTGTAGCTTGTACATCTGCTAATGGACTTGCTGACTGTGCGTTCGCACTGCCTCCTGGATCAAGTACAGATTTCTCTGCCTGGCGTTCAAGGACTCTGCCACTAATTAGCTGTGTAACCTTGAGCAGCTAATTTCGATGGAGAAAATAATCATGGCAAAGGCCCACTGTGAAATCAGAAGTGCTTTGTTGTGGC